TCCTTAGAAAACAGAATACATAATACTAGTTTTAATAATTCTATATTTCAGTTTTTATTGTCAATATCATCATTTCTTTTTAATAAAACAAAGCTCATTAACAAATATTTCATATTTCTCATCAAAATTAATAAAATTTTTATGTATTTCGCAGTGCAAATGTCACTTTTGACATTTGACATTGACAAACGACATTGACGTAAAAGTTAATACATTTCAAAAACCGTTAAACTAGATTTAAATCATTACATTGAAATTATTGGCTGAAAATAAAAATTAAAATTAAAACATAAACAAAAATAAATTAATTATAAATATATAAACAGTTATTATTTACATTAACAAAACTCACTTCCTTAACAGTGCTTAAGGGACATAAAGGGATATTACTACCGCTTTCCCGTTCAAAATATTCTAATAAAATTGCGATAAGTTTATAACGGCTATTAAGCTATCTTGTATATTTCGCACTTGAAAAGGTTCTACAAAAAAGAACAATGTTCGACTGAATGGTCTGCTAGTAAAACTGTTTAAGTTTAAAGTATCACAACCACAATTGTATTTGAAATACAAAAAATACTATTTGAAGTACACTCTGTCTATATCTATTCCGGAAAAGTTCTAGTTAAAAATAATCTATTAAAATTGTATTTCTTTGCATATTTTCGAAAAAAAATCTGGTTTGTTTTTCATTAAAATTAGAAACAAAATAAAACACTTAATTAAAGTTCTCTCTAACTTCAATTAGTTCGTTTATTAACAAAATTACGTAGAGCAAACTTCAAATCCCGTCATTTTGAAACTGGAACATCAGAAAATGACAAAAAAAAACTCGATCTCTGAAAATACTTTGTCTAATTAAGGGGTATTAAAATAATGCAGATACTCTAAAAACTATTAAGCCCCCAAAAATAATATTAGAAAAGTTTAGCAGACAAATTTAATTGTCCTCTATAAAGTTAAGTGCTTAAAATAATTTAATTTCTTCTTCGTTAAAGGTATTAAACTGATTAAAAAAGGGAATAATTGAAGAAAAGATATTTTAATGAATGAAGTTTTAATAATTTTGTAATTGTTTTATACCTATTCAGTAGTAATAAATGCGATAAAAACATAATTAATTAACTTTAAAGTAATGTCCTAATTGATTTTTTCATAATAACCCTGATGTTATAGATATCAGCAAACTAAAATACTGATTCACCACAATACTTCATGATTAGTTTCGGAGATACAGGGTGAAGAAGTTTCATTTTATTTCGATTTTATTAGGACATACATTTACACGAACTTTTTTACTTATTTTTATCTACAGAATATGCTGCCGAAGTTTTCGGAATACAGTTCGGTCCAACCTGTATATTTATCAATGTGATACAGCTTTACGAATTTTCCTTCTCCACGCATATCCCCCAGAAAATAAGCGACATCCTTTAAGTTCGAGCCTTTATACTGTTAATTTGTCGCCTGAGAAAGGCTCTAACCATAACTCATTCCCGCGATATGAGAAACTTTAGCGGGGTATTAAATAAGTTGGGAAGGCATTCAAGTCTACTCAGTTTGCTTAAGCTACTTGAGCCTTTAAGGGCCCTTGTTAAAGGCATGGATATAATTACTTCCTAAATAAATCAAAGTAATTTGATGTTTCTAAAGAAAAGAAATGATTATTTGACTTTTTTCTTACCCAGAAAAATAGCATCAACTTGAAAAGTTGATTAGTCTTTGATCAAAACCTTTTTTAGTGCGAAGTGTACAAGATATAGCTTAATAGCCGTTGCAAAAAACTCATCGCAACCTTATTAGAATATTTCGAACGGGAAAGCGGTAGTAATGGCCCTTTATGTACTTAAATGCTGTTAAAAAGTGAGTTTTGTTGATGTAAATAATAACTGTTTATATATTTATAATTAATTTACTTTTGTTTCCCGAAATATTTTGATTAAAAGAAAATATGTTAAAGTGGGCAACGTTGTGCCGGTCAAGCTTAATCACGCGACTAAAAGTTTACTTGGTACGATCTGTATGTTTTAACCCAACATATACATACATACATGCAAAACTGTAATTTCTTCCCTGACTCGTTGAATACACTATATAAAGTTTTATCTACACTATTTCCGAGTGAACAGACTAAATAAACACGTATATTAAAATCTACAAACTCATTATATATTTTAATGAAAGGACATAAAACGGCACACAATATTAAAAATTACGTTCTTTGTGTAATACATTAAAAAATGAGTTAAAAAACGTGTCATAGAAACCTTTATTCTTGTATTTTTACCCAGAGATCATCCATCACTTTTGCGTGACATCGTAAAATAAAATATGGTTTCTGGTTTGAGGCGACCAAATTTGAACATATTCTCTTTTTGACAGCTAAATCCCTCTAGCGGTAATATTGTCGCTTTGAGGAAACACATATATATGCAAATTTCGCTTATTCCGAAAAAAAAAACGATTTAAAGTAAAGAGCTGTTAAAAGAAATTGCTATAAAAAATATCACGGTGGCTAGTAAAATTTCAAATTTCAAAATTAAAATGGTAGTTTTCGAAAGTAGTGTGTACTAGTACTATAGGGATGTGTTCTTGTATCGAAACTTAGATGTTCCATCATACACAGACAGATAATATAAATAGACAAACATTAATTTATTGTATAAAACAAAGGTATCCAAGATATATAAACCAGATGTAAAGACGGTTATATAATTAAAAAAGTTTACTAACGAAGATCGTATACGATTATTATACAGGGTGAGTCTTAAATAAGTGAAAATATTTTCAGGGCTGGTAGATCCCGATAAAAGAAACATATTTTCTCTTCCAAAATAACCGAGTTATTTCACTTTGAAAATTTCCAAAAAAAAAATGTTTTTTGGTTAAATTTTGAGAACCACTGGATCTTTTCAGAGTTTTCTTTCTTGTAAATTTAATCTACTACCTACGTTGCCATACTATCAATAAATTATATTTTTTAACTAAACACTAAAAAAATCCAATAAATTTTGATTTTTTTTGTCGCGAAAAAAACCTCATAATCGTTTTTCTGGAGTCGAAATATACTACCCCTAAAAATATTTGCACTTATTTAAGACTCACCCTATATATTAGATACATATCGTATTCATACTGTAACAATTAAGTTTTAAATGGCATCCTCTTTGATACGATCATTGCAAAATAGTCTTTATATACCTTTTGAAGCGCTGTCAAAATTGTCAGTTAGACATCAAGTGCCACAGTACATTTCAAACCAAAATTACATTCCTAAACACATATACGTCCCTTCCCCTGGTTAAACTATCGAAATAATTAATGTCTGATGTATGTAAACAAGGGTTGAAATTACATTGTCATTTTCGCTGTAAAATACGCGACCTCGAAAGTGTAATAATTCTGTGTTGGATGCAGACGCGGCCATCTGTCACGCTAAAATTGTTTTAAATTGCATAAATATATTATATTTAACTACTTCATAAATAATCACACTCATAATGTCACTCGTAAACTAAAATTAAATTTTTGCCTCTGCATTTGAGTAAACTAGTTCAAAAAAAATAGTGTGGGCACTATGTGCGCAAATTGGAAAGGGTCTTACATCTGATACGCTTTGTGGTGCGAAAAATCGTTTTTATTTTCCGAAACAAAAACTTTTTGATCGAATATAAAACCTAAGCAAAACTTTTTTCATTCGACGCGCTATCACGATGTTCAATTAAAGTTTTTCTTAACTTTTCCGCACCAAAGTGGCAAAACTATCGGATATGCGCCTAGCATAATCCAGCTGATTTATCTATCTATCCACCATGGAAACGATAAAACCTTTCGTTAGGTTCACAAGACAGTAACTAAACGTCTTTAACCATAGTCCATACATCATATTGAAAGGTTCATTACATATATTATAAAATTATTATAAAAGATAAACTAACCACATAAATTGATTTATTTTGAGACAACATATACCATACAATAAAAAAAACGGCATCATAGACGGCTGGGTCACGAAAACCCATGATAATTTTGGCGAGGTCAAGCCCTAGACGTCATTACTTGACCCGTACTCTTCTTTATTTTTTAACGGCGCTTATTACCAGTTGGCCCTAAGACGGTTGAAATTTATTTTTAAATTGAATAAAAATTATTTTTAAGTGGTATAATTTTTTTTCTATAAATAAAATCTAAATTTTAAACAAGTCTAAGTCAATTTTTGGTAATGTTGTCTAGAGACTGACTTCGACAAAATTACCATTCGTTCATGGAGGACAGTCTCCTATTAAAATCCCCTTGTCTGAGATTTTTATTCTACTGAAATCTATAGTAACTGATTAAATATTATACAGAACGCACATAAAAATATTTATTACATTTACATCAGATCTGTCTCTAAATAAAATTACAAAAAACTTTGATAAGAAAGTAACTGCTATACAGGGTGGTCCGAACTGTATTCCGGAAACTAACTACTTTATGCTGCCAAAGTTTCCGGAATACAGTTCGGACCACCTTGTATATCTAATAAATTAGTTTTAAATATTCTGTGAGTTCTCACAAACTGCCAGACATGATTCGCTTACTAACAGAATAAAAAATAAAAACTAAAAAAAATCCGTAGGGAAAATCTAAAATTAACTCCTCTTATCATTTTTCACAAACTTTCATATTTCATAAACTTTTTTCCAGTTTTTTTCCTTCTCGTCTTAAAGCACATCGTGCAAAAATCCCGGAAAAGTTAAGGAGCAGTAACTTCGGTCCGGAGTGATGTGCAAGTCTAAGAAATCCAATTACTTCCTTTAAAACCCGTGAAAATTTCAGTATAAGTCTTCCAGGGATCTAGGGAAAATCCTGGAGACTCGGACATATTAATTGATTAAGGAGTTAAGAAAGATTAATAACAGTGTAAAATTAGAAAGAAAAAAAAAAGAAAAGTGAGTGAACTAAAATGAGAACTAACAACAATAAAAAATAAAAAAATAAATAGATAGAATAATTAAAAAAAGGGTTTAGTGTCACAGAAGAGAGGAGATTACCACAATGTCTGCAGGTAAGATTCAATTTCGATTGATTCAGAATTTCACATTATATGATAAACACCTCTTATACGGGGTGTTTCTATAAAGTGGCTCACCCCTATAATTTTTTTTATTTCTTCAGATACATTTTCATCGTCGTTACATGTATGGCCATGGCACTGTAAATTGAAAATTAAAATGCTATTTTTTTAATTCAAAAGGTCAAAAGTTTACCTGTATATGTCATTCTATTCAGAATGTAATTTTCTGTCAAATGAAGTAAAAAATACAGGTGTCATTTAAAAACGAAAGTTGTAGTAATTTCCGGTAAAACAGGAAGTGACCGAAAACACTTGAATACGACAATCAGTCCTGATTTATGTAATATACTAACGTACCAAATCTCGTTTATTTATCTAAAAAATTAAAAGTTATAAGGGAAACTTTGAGAAACAACCGGTATATTAAAAAGCAAATATTAATAAGTAAATAAAATATTTTTTTGTCATCCCTTCATTATTATCCTTAACCCTAATATAATAAACCATTTTTCATTCAATTTTCCCATGTTTTTGTAAATGTCTTCCAACATAAGATACATTTTGACACGTGGCAAGCCTCAAAACTGATTTTATCGCAATGTCCTAAGGTTTCGGAGGTTGCTTTTACCCTTCGGCGGCAAAATATACCGACCCGTTTCTTGTTATAACTCTGAGGTCCACTTATCAGATTGGAATTTGCTTAGGAAAGGGACATAAAGACGGAGTAACCCTAACTTAACGTTTGTAATACGAAAACGACATTTCAGAGCACAATAAGAATGCTTGAATTAGAGAGCCTAATATATCAAGACAAGAGTACATAAAAGCCTAATGTAGTCCTATCAGGAAGTGGAAGGTTTATTAAGGCGATAGAAGATAACTATCTAAGCTTCTGAATAACGGTCTAGGTAAAGCATCTCGCTCATTTGCTAACTATCCTCGCTATTAAAGTATCATTTAATCTACCGTTGCGGTTGAAGTACTATTTTATCTACTATTTTTGATAGGCTTGTGTCGTGTCATGGCCTTTAATTTTGACACCCAGGACGCTTAAAGAACTTTCACTTAAAAACCTAATAAGCTAACGATCTTGAACTTACACACACAAAAAGTTCATTGACAGACACCAGAGTAATCTTTTAAAAAAAACCTTTCTATCTTTCAGTCAGACCCACGTTACAAAAAAAAACACTAAAAATAAATTAAATAGGTCATCCCTAATGTATTTCACAATATATTTCTTTTTCGACCTTTTTCCTATGCAATTAACAGCTCCAGCCATTAAGTCCGGCCCTGGTACATGTGTTAAGCGCGCTAAATTTAAATTTTAAATAGCTTCACGAAGGAACCCTTGCACAATAGGAGTTTTTCTTTTGTTTTTCTTCCGCGTCACTTTTTAAAAAGCCTCGACCTTTCGCTAAACTTCGCACTTAAAAGTTTAAAATTATCTGGAAAACTCCCACTGTTTAGCTAGTAACGAAATTGAAAATTAAGTCACAGTGGAATTGATTAGGCTGTTTTAGGAATAGTCGAATTTGCGGTTAGTTTCACGCTTCGTTAGAATTTAGCTTTTGTAATGGTGTATGATTGAAAATAAATAGGGCTAAACACGGCCTAAATTGGTATTTTAATTATTTTATTTTTGTATTGAAGATTTCTGAAATATAATATAAATTTCTTTCGGCTCTTAAAGTTAGCTATTAAAGAAAATGTTTAATAGCGTCATCAAACAGCTTCCAACATCACTCTACCAAAAAACACATATAAATTACCCAGAGCATTAGCTAAACCCATCGTCAGCTCTTAAGCGATCTCCATTATCCTATAGACGCAAAAAGTACGAAATTCTGGAAAAATATCTCGATATTCGATATTTCTCCTTCCGAGACAAGCAAACTTAATGGAAGATAACGAAGTTTTTCTTTGAAAAAATTGCCCTAGAGATTATTTTTCCATGATCTTTCTTGTTCGGATGGAAATATCGATGAAAAAGACGAATTTTGCGAATTTCCAGTAGATTTTTCGGTCTATAATAGGGATGTACGATACTATTGATTTTTTCAGAAAATCGATAGTGTTATGTTAAAATATCGATATTTTCTTTTGCAATTTTCTACGTTTTTTTTATATTTATCTAATTATCTTGTTCATTTTAGTTTTAATTTATGGTCATATCAACTACTCTCAGCACAAGATAGTAAAAACATAAAGTTTAAATTTATTTTTTTGTAAATTGTATTTTGCATTATTTCAAAGAACTCTATATAAACAGAGAAGAGGTAAATTGCGGTTTAAAATCAAAGACAAGCACTTTTTAAACTACACGAAAGTTAATTTTTATTTTAACGTTCTTATTGCACGTTGTAGGTACATTTTCAAAGACTCCTCTGTTGGTTTTACCCTTTGTACACAGTCTCGACCTTTTTGAACTTGGGGCTTTCGCAGGGGACGGAAAAATTGCTTTTGTTTCCCTAGCAATTGTGAGGAAAGTTGCTTTAGGAAGAATAGAGGCGTATATTGCTGCCAGCAACTGCTTCGAAACATTGTTCAGCTTGGCGAAATAACAGCAAAAAAAGTTAACTGCCTTATTGTTAATTTTCCGCTCGTATTTATGTTAGAAATAGTATGTTGTTCTTTGTTAAACCAAGTCAAAGAGGCAAACGAGAAATTTATAATTGACAAGAGTTATTTATGTTTTATTGGTTTTAAATGTTATCACGTCGAGACAAACTTAGCTCTGCCGTAAAAAATGCCAAGTTGCCACATTTATTTATTTCCTAACATATACGTAAAAGTAGGCAACGCTGTGCCGGTCAAGCTTAATCACGTGACTAAAAGTTTATTTGGTATGATCTATAGTTTTGTCAATTCTTCAGTTGTATTATTTATCTGAAATATTCATGAGTGACGCATATAGGTAATTTTTCTTCGCTATTTTGTAATATATCACATAATGTATCCGAGAATCAACTTGTATGGTCCTTTATGTTTCTCATTCAAAAAATAAATGCATTCCATAAACCTTTTATTCTTTAGTTTTACGTCATTGAACTGTATAGCGAAAATATTTCATAGAAATATGCTTATACATACAAAATAAAACCAAAAAACGACGCTACATATCTAAATAGATTTCCAAAGGACACAAAATCGCATTTGAGTACGCGAAACACGTACGGTTACAAAATGATAAAACAAAAAGACCGTGAAATAGAAGCAAAAAAACGAAAGAAAAGACAAAAAACTGAAAAGAGCAAGCCATAGAAAACTGGGGAGAACAGAAATCATATTACGGAACTACGTGCCGTTAGTTATTACCTCGAGAACAAGAAAAAGAAAACTTAATGGGGAGCGAAATCGGCTTTAAAACAAGAAGAAAACGCGATCACGTTTCAAAAGGAAAAACTTTCCACCTTTTCCTCGGTTTACCTACACATAATATAAGCGTATGAATAAAAATAACCACGAGCCGAGCGTCTCTTACAAGTTTTGAAACGTTCCTTGTACGAGATATCTTTTGAAAATGTGTTAAATAATGTAGGAAAGTGTTTTTTGAAGAAACAAATAATTAAATGGCATTTAGAGGATGGTCTCCTCAAAATTATCATCGATTGTCATATGGTATATTATCGAATAAAAAATATCGTTTGTACAGGGTGTTTCAAAGAACATGTGCCATTTCTCGTGGTTTCGGCAGAATCGGACCCATGTTATATAAAATGAAAAATAAATCTTATTTTTACGAGAGGAAATTTTCCCACCACAGATGGCACATGGTTTTTTGAAACACCCTTATAAGCTGCTTGAAGGCACTTCTTGAATTAGTTCATTCATAATTCAAAGTTAGTTACATTTTCTATAAAATAACGTCTGCTACTGAAGTCGACTTATGTATTTACTTTTTGTTTGAGACAAAGTTCCACTTCTGTTGAATCGTATGAAACAGAGTGCGATAGTTGCGTCAATTTCCACTATATTTCAGTCAGTTTTTCTATGCTTCCCATTCGAGTTTCTATCTTTCGTATCCACATATCGTAGATTGCATTCGAAAATAACAAATTGTCTGTCTAAACGTTCCGAACAATAAATCATTTATTTAATAATACAGAAGCGTTATGAGATTATTTTTGAAGTAAATGGAAAAAGGAATTTCTGGGGATTTTCATTTTTCAATTATTGCAAACGATAAATAGAAACATGTCGTCTGGATGGTTCAAGTGTTCAATCTATCAAACGGCGATGGCATATGATTGATTATTTTTATTTATGTCACAAAACGAGTAACAGAGTTTGTGTAATGAATCGTTTCATAATCATACTTTTTTTGATAGATATAAGGCAATTTTAACATAGTCATAGTCTACCACATTCAAAGAAAAAATACCATTTTAAGTTTAAGCAACTCATGAATATTTTAAATAAATACAATAGGAGAACTGACAGCAAATCAGTGTCTCTGTTTAAATTCATTACTCAATCGAAAGTAATTCTTGAAGTGGAATATTTTCAATTTCCTTGAAGAGGAAATCGAAACGTACACAAGAAATCACGTCGCGGTTTGCATCGATTTTGTTATTACAAACAGATTTTACGACAACCGCACAACGCCAGTATACTTAAAATAGAATACCAATAGTAATCCTAGTTTGTGTATTTCCATTTGCATATTAAATAAAACCCATTGTCTCCAGGCACGATACAGTTCATTATTAACACTCTAACGATTTTCAGACAGGAAATAGCTTAAAACTAAAAGAATTTCCAACGTCCATTGTCTTTATTTATTTTTTGATTAACACAAGGTTTCTCTCGGTCAAAAACATCATAAATATCGCAAATAATGAAGAAAACTTCTATTATCTGAGCTTTCCTCTTTAGATCTTGTAATTACCAACTTATTTTCCGAAACTTCGCTATTGTTATCATTGTTCCCACTTTGCAAAAGTTTATTTTAACCTCTTAATTGCTACAAAACTTTAGGAAAATACTTTATACTATTATTGAGGTAATTCCTTGGAAAATCTTCTTATTCTATTCGACGTTGACAAATTTGAGGAAGAATTTTTTCTCTTCTTGCGTTATGATTGATGAAAAATGACGGTGATTTAGGTAAGCCTTTTCTTTTACATGCCTGGCTAGGTTTATCAATCGTTTTGGAATTTTTAGAGACAGTCTTTTAGGAACAGTTGACCTAGTATATAACAATGCAGGTTTTGTAGTAATTTATTAACAGTGATGTTTTCCTTATACAATATTTTTTGAATTATATCAATATCTGCTTTTACTCTGCTTTAAAGCTACATTTTTTACAAGGATTTGTGAAGTTTTAACAATAAAAACTGTAAATTTATAAAAATACATACATATACAGGGTGAGTGCGCTGAGACGAATTTAAATACTGTTTTTATTACGTAGGGACATAAAAAACTGTCCCAAATAAGTTTTGGTGCAGATAACACGTCAAATAGCAAACCCAAGATAGAAAAAGACAAAAATATAAATCGCTTTCGTTTTATATTCATAGAAAGTTCAAATTGAAATGAAAAGGGAAAACTGCGAGTTTCCTTGATCCCGATTTCCCACAATAAATAGATTTCCCGGATTTTTTAGGCGCGTTTCACAATTCCCGCCATAAATTTCGTTTTCCGCAAACGGTCCGGTTCTATACCGTCTTGTTTTTGTTGTCCCGGGATTAGGGGGTGTAATTAATTTTCCTCTACGTAGGCTCTCGGATTTCTTTCATTTTTGTTTGTTCATCTCGACTAAAAAGGGCGCTTTATAAATGTGGAGTGGGGCCTAATATAGTATCTGATTAATTTGGGGTAATATTTTACAAGTATTTTTGGATCGTATTCTGTAAAGTTAGATGAGGAAACAACGCAAATATAACCCGTTTCCTACTGTAAAAAATGTTCCGCACTCTGCTGTAAAAAATGTCATGTTGCCACATTTATTTATTTATTTCCTGACATTGTCACTCGTTTTGACACTTTAGTTTTGTATTACGAGGTTTTGGTTTAAATGAATTGTATTGTGATATTGTAAGCTTAAAAGTTTTTACTAGCAGACCTTGCACTCGAACATTGTTCTTTTTAGAACTTCTTTTAGTGCGAAGTGTACAGGGTGGGTCAAATTTGACGCTTTTAAACGGAAACACCCTTTTCTATAGGAAATAGACAAAAACTAATATCGGTGTCTGGAGCTCAATTTTGTCAAAAACATGACAGTGAAAACCGCATATCGATATCTGTTACCGTTTCGGAGTTACGGGGTGTTTTTCAAAAATATCCATTTTTAACAAATCGCTGTAACTTTTTTGCTATGGAAAATTTTGTATTCTTATGAAAACATTTCCAGAGCACCTTTTTACGTAGAATTTAATGGTTTAAGTATAATTTTTTTTAAATCAATAATTTAAGAATTATCAACAGAAAATTTGATTTCTTATATGAGACACCCTGTATATTTTTAATTTATTGAAAAGAATTTAAAATTACCTTTCCAAAAATATAACACACTTGATATTTTGCTCGATTCCTCTTCGAGATATAGAGTATATAAAAATTCGCCCGCTTTAATTAAGTAGGCTTTGAACGGCACCGGCTGTAATACAAAAAAATTCTAGCTGTGAGAATCGGTTAAAACGAAAATAATATTTGCTATGAGAGATGCAGAATTTTATAACAATTTAAAATATATTTAACCAAGATCAACACATTTAAACTATATCTAATAACAATAAAAATAAATAGAAAACCAAGACATGAAATTTTGCTACAGGTGTTCGACATATCGACCGTTTTTTATTATGGACAGACGGGGCCGTTTTTGAACATTTCTCGCGGAATTCATTAACTCAGTAGGGGTGAAAGATACCCTCTCATAACTGCTAAGTATTTCTAATTCTTGTCTAGATTATACGGAAGAATAAGGAACCTTTATTCTTCCGCAAATATATCCATAGGATTAGATCCATGGGCACTAACTCAGGCGGTCTCGACGGCCAACGGCTGGGATCTTGGTTAGCTATTCAATTATTCTTGAAATTGGCTGCAAAAATTTGCTGATAACTTCAGTATTCTGAGGCGGTGCGTCGTCTTGCTGGAAAAATATGTTTTCGAGTTCCATTAAGGGCATATCATCAATAAGGGGTCCAAAGCCTACTAGTTAAAAGTGGCCAACGTTTAAATATTCTGTATTTCGAAGGGGATTATAACAAAATATCAAGTGTGCTATATTTTTGGAAAGGTAATTTTAAATTCTTTCCAGTTAATTAAAAATATAGAGAGTGTCCCGAATAAAAAATAAATTTTTCTGTTGATAACTCTTAAATTATTAATTTTAAAAAAATTATACTTAAACCATTAAATTCTACGTAAAAAGGTGCTTAGGAAATGTTTTCATAGAAATACAAAATTTTCCATAGCAAAAAAGTTACAGCGATTTGTTAAAAATGCACATTTTTAAAAAACACCCCGTAACTTCGAAACGGTACCAGATATTGATGTGCGGTTTTCACCATCATGTTTTTGATGAAAATTGAGCTCCAGACACCTATATTAGTTTTCATCTATCTCTTATATGTTTTGTGTGTTTGGGTGTTTCCATTTAAAAGCGTCGAATTTGACCCACCCTGTACAAGATAGCTTAATAGCCAATGCAAAAATCTCATCGCAACATTATTACAATATTTTAAACGGAAAGGCGGTAGTACTGGCCCTTTATGTCCCTTTAGAGTTCACATTGCTAAAATCTTTTTTAATAACCCAGGTTAAATTGGTTTATTTTGTATAATAAATTATTATATTATTATATGACGTGTAAAGTGTTGAATTTATTTTGAAATAATTTTAAGATGTGTATCATAAAAACAAAAATTATGAAATATATTGATCAATCAACAAAATCCTTAGTAAAGAGAAACGAAATAAACAAAACATATGACGTAACAACCGAGGCAATACAAAATGGAAAAATACGAAATCTATTTTTCTGATAAATATTTTAAAAGAGAAACTCGGAAACCAATCTGCTTAAGAATTGTTTTCGGAGTAAAACTAGAAAATGGGGTATCGCTCGACCGGAAAATCGAGGTCTTTTAAAATTTCGCTTAGTATTATAGCTGCACAGAAGGACTGTATAATGAACTGCAATCTACATTTTTATCTGCCCCGACGACATGGTGCGGGACTTCATAATAATGTCATTAAACTCATGCAGTTGAACTAGTTTACAGATGGCATTGTAAAGATATAAGAGGATGGAAATAACTTAAAAAAATATAAACTCACTTATTAACTATAGTTCATATCGTGTATCTAAAATTATCTATTAATCAAAATATTTTAGGAGACAAAAATAAATTAATTATAAATTTATAAACAGTTATTATTTACATAAAAAAAACTCGCCTTCTTAACAACACTTAGTGGAAAGGACAATTACTACCGTTTTCCCGTTCAAAATATTCTAATAAAGCTACGATGAGTTTTTTACGGCTATTAAGCTATCTTAACGTATACTTCGTTCTAAAAGAGGTTCTAAAAAGAACAATGTTCGACTGCAAGGTCTGCTAGTGAAAATTTTTATAAGCTTAAACTATCAGAACACAATTCAGTTAAACCAAAAACTCGTAACACAAAGCTAAAGTACCAAAACGAATGAGAATAAATCCTGTCAATATTTGTATGTAACTATGAAAATACCGAGTGAAATATTATATTCTCAAATTCTAAGGTCAAAACGGTGATAGAATTCGACAAAGAATATGCAAAATTCTTTGTCGAAATAGACTATTTCCATTCAGCATGGTATTTATTAAAAAGTGTACGGGCATTGAGCGGAACCCGCGTCTATTTTAAAATTGAATTTCGTCGACGATCGTGTAAATATTTACCGGACCGTTTTGGAAAATCGGGGAATAAAAAAATCGATACAAATAGTTTTAAAAGACTGGTTATTTATTGCATTTTATTACATTTACCAGTATTTCTTTATTTGTTAAAATTGGATTATTTATTTAATTTAAATTCAGTAATTTTGTTGAATGTTTTAATTTTTGTTTATACAGGGTGTTTTTGAATTTTATTTAAAGTGAATCTGCGCATATTTAAAGTAAAACTAACAGCTACTAAATTGAAGGATTTTGAAGGACCTATTTGAAAAAGGGACATATAAATAATGTTATGTTTTAATACAAATATTATTTTCAATTTATTTCTGTAATCTGTACATTTTCTGTTTCCTCAATAGCCTGCAAATTTTGTGGAATACCACCCAAAATACACACTTTTATGCAAATGCCTAATAATGTTAACGCCCCTTAAATTTTATTTAAAAAAAGAAGAAATTTTGAACCTAACCAACAATTCATGTGGTCTGTTTTTGTATAATTGTTTTGTTCATTATTTATAGTGATTTACAGTAATTTTGTTAAATTATACGAATATTCTCGTTGATTATTGGTTTGAAATAAATATAACAATCTCCTTCAATGAAAATGCGAGTTGCTTAACTCTAATAATTTTAATTCTGAGCTGGTAAACGAGCTAGATGCTTTACCTAAACCATTATTCAGAAGCTACAAATCTATCGATGAAAATATGCATGAAAATTTACTTCCTAGCACACAACCAGAATATATTGGTACACAGGTACACAGTATCAAGTTTATTATAATGATTTTTTTAGCTTTAAATCAAATGTTTTTAGTGTTTAAGCGATCGTGCGATCCTTATCACCTTTCATCTCGCTAGCTCGTGTGTCACGGCCTTGAATTTTTACCCCCAGCGCGCGTAAAAAAGTTGCACTCATAAATATTATTTGACTCCTTCCTTTTAATCTTTCTACTCCCATTACCAAAACTAATTCTCCCAAAATTTAATTAAACTTCCAAACTATCTTAATTTGACGTTTAATTCCCGAATTGTTCCAGGATCGGCAGTGGCAATGATAGGTGCCAACCTTCGCTTCGGCAGCAGTAGTGCCAACGTGACGTCGAACGTCACCAAAGTGTTCCAGTGTCACCCGGGGGGCACGGCGGAAGCAGCCCTTATTTTCGCCCTAGGCACGTTAGGAATGGCGGCCAATTTGGCCCTTATGGCTGTTATACTTTCCAACAAACAACTTAGAAGGTAAACAAAATTAAGTTAAACTTCAAATTAACAATTACTACCTGATAACAATTACTTAATAAGGTAAAACCAAAAAGCCCCAAACTTTCTGTATGATTATTTAAATTAAAAATTTTTAATCACGGACTACAAGAAAAATATATGACTAAAAACGGATTTTCACCAGATATTTTTGCTTCTACCTCAAGACACAGCTGATATTGATTTAAAAAAAAACCGAAAAAAACATGATATAAAGAAACAGAAAAGAAAAACGCCATAAAACACTTGAAACCTCTTTCGAGGACGAGAAACAAGGAAAAATAAAACAAGGCTATATACAAACACGCTGGATACGGGTAAAAACAACCCTTTAAACCGAGCTTGGGCAGATGTGTTTAACCCAAACGAACGAATAGAATAATATCTCCATCAATTTGCGTCACACTGCGGAAACCCGCAAACCTACTACAACAACTCTTCCTTAGGAAGTGGTTACGGAAATTCCGAAATTGTACGAACACTTAAGTTCGTACTAAATCGTAACAATCAGTTCTTACGGCAAACAAATAATACCGTATGATCTAAAAAAAAACCGACGTTAAAGACGGCTGGAGATTGACAACCGATGATAATTTTGGCATGGTCAATCTCTTGGCCCATACTCTTCTTTATTTTTTAATGGCGCTTACTGCAAGTTGGCCATAAGAAGGTTCTAATTTATTTTTATAAATTCAAGAAAAAATATTTTTTTCGAAATAAAATTGTGTGTCTGGAAACGTTCATAGTTATTTTTTATACATTTTATCGTCTTGTATAATGCAACTTTATCGTTGTGTATAAAACAATATTTTTTTTCATGGCGACTTACATTTTTAAAAATATTCAGAAATTAATATTTCAAGGAATTTATTACGAGTAGAAAAAATATTGTGCTGGGTTGGCGTTAGTTTCTATGTAATTTGACAAATAAATAAAGCTGTCTCTTTAGTTGTCAGTTTTGAGTCAATATTTTTCAATTCTCTTTCGTGTCGATTGCTGATTGAATTGGAGCGAGAAATGGCTCAAAACGAAATAAGTAAATTACCAACACATATTCAGGCTGAGGCGACAAACGCCATATCCAAACTACATCAATTTAAATCCCGAATAACTTATGAAAAGGAATACAAAAACTTTCAAAAATTGAAGCAATTAAAAAACGTGCGAGAAAAAATAAAGTTTTTAACCTATCCTCGCTGTTAAAGTATCATTTAATCTACCCTTGCGGGTAAAATACTATTTTATCTACTATTTTTGATAGATATAAGGCAATTTTAACAGTTGCTATGGATTTTTTTATATATATTACATTATAAATTAACTATGCATGACATAGAATCTAAATTATCTATACCATTTCTCGGAACAATAAACTATAATTTAGTAGTTATAATAATAATTGCCCAAATTAATTGTTACTGTTTTGAATAACAATATCGAGCATACTTTATAAATTAACTTTAATTAATAATTGTTTTACGAGAGTATAATTAAACGAAATGTTATTATTTAAGCGGTACAATTAGTATTGAACGGTATCTGAGAACAGGCAGTCTGAAACAGACATCAATAATATGTAAATCCTTTTGCCAGTACTTAATTAAGTCAAATTTAATTTGAGAGCGACTTAGTTAAATTTGCATAGCGTCCCTCGAAAGGGAAAAGTTATCGAAGCCAGCGGAATAATCGATTAAAATCATTTTTTAATTAATTACATAATTAATTTGAAAGGACACAGGACCAATTTAATTTCTTAATACCTTTTAATTAAACTAAAATTTATATTAAGAGTCCATTTCAATAGTCCGAAAAAGTAGCAAAATAAGCGTTCAGCATTTAGCGTTTTATGTAAAACTGGCTATAGATAAAATAGCTCTGCAAACCTTAATCAAAGCAAGCGTGTTTGGAATTTTAGGTGTGGCTTAACACGACAGGATCAGGCTAAACCTTAGGTAGATTTCTGAAATATAATATATATTTTTTTCGGGCCCCGACCCCTGAGAGCGACCCGAAAGTACAGCGTAATAGACTCTTAACTTTTAGTTTCAATACTCAGTTTTTGTTAAAAATAAATATCACATTTAGTAACAAACCCCGAATAGTAAAAAAAGCAAAATAAAAATATTGTTTTTTTTTAGTAAAAATGGTTCAATGTCGAAATTACGGTCTAAAAACTTTTTTTTATTGTTCCATAAACAATAGAGCTGAAAATTTTCATTGTGAGAATAAACAAAAACAGTTTTAAATTGTATTAAAACCGCCAGCCATTTTTCATAAGTTTAATAATTCAATTAAACGAAGAATTAAAAATTTAGAACTTTTTTAACAACATAATAGAAAAGTTATGATATGCATGTTGTTATTTTTAATAAATTAAAGTACGTAATTTTATTTTCTGAAGTGTTACTGTTTGTATTAAACCAATAGTCATTTTTCATATAAGTTTAATAATTCAATTAAACGAAGAATTAAAAATTTAGAACTTTTTTAATAACGTAATAGAATAAGTTATGATACGCATTCCGTTATTTTTTTCCGGTAATTTTATTTTCTGACAAAGCGTTAATCGAATTGGTCATACACTCTGAAAAACTCTCGTGGAAAGTTTTCCACTTCATCAATTAGCGAGATAGATTAAACTGAGAATTAATCTGAGGCTCGCTCGGCCGGAAAAACAATCAACTAATCCTTTTGAATAAAAATATAAATTCAAATAAAACTCCTATATGGGTAATCCGTTTTAACAGTGACTAATTTTTTTCATAGCAACTGTTAAAATTGCCTTATATCTATCAAAAATAGTAGATAAAATAGTACTTTGACCGCAAGTGTAGATCATAGGGGTAGATTAAATGATACTTTAAAAGCGAGGATAGGTTAAAAACTTTATTTCTTCTCGCACGTTTTTTAATTGCTTCCATTTTTGAAAATTTTTGTATTCCTTTTCATAAGTTATTCGGAATTTAAGTCGCCTCAGCCTAAATATCTGTTGGTAATTTACTTATTTCGTTTTGAGCCATTTCTTAATTCATTAATCTTTTCTTGTATAAAAAATAACTATTAACAGTGATTATTTAGTCATATACCGTTTGCTCACTTAAATTTTAAATTATTATCATGCATAATTAATTTCTGTACTTATTACTATCTTAAATTACTGCTTTTTAGTAAATACAAATTAAAATGTGTTCGCCATGAAGAGAATAATTTCAGTTGCAAAAAAAATTATCCATAAATTCAATCAATTCCAACCGTAATATAGTATTATTTATTTAATATATTTAACAATTCGTGAGGAGATATGTATTTTCCTCGATATAATGGTATGTCAGTAGGTCAGATCAAGGGAAATCAATCGTTCTAAATATACTGTCGAACTAGGGCATAAAGAAAAATAAAGGGTTTTTGCTTTAAAAGAAATATATAAACAACATTAACCCATATTTTAGTATTATTTAATATGATGTAAAAAAGCGTAATGATGGAAATTATGAATAAATAGACTACACAAATATAATCATTCACTAGCACATTGATTAATCTATACTTAATATATAAAATCCTTAAATGACTGACTCACTGATTAATCACGATCCTGCTCAAACCACTCAACGTAAGAAGCTCAATTTTGGCATACAGGTTGATTCTAGGGTGTAGAGGTTCAATAAGAAGGAATTTTTGGAAATTCCAGTTCCAAGAGGGTGAAACCATCCCTCAAATATAACAATATTTTTTATTTAAGAAGAAAAAACGCTTAAACACGTATATTTTATTTTGTTTTCTTACATATTTTAAGATTTTTTAAAAATGTATACAGGGTGTTTCGAAAAATCTGGTTATTATTGAATAATATCATACCAAAAAAGTATGTAAAAACAAAAAAAAGACTGTAACAAAATGCGGCAAAAACAAAAAAGTAATTTAGTAAATAAGCTGCTACTTTTCTACGTTTCTCAAAGTTTAGCAACACCTGCCGCAAACGAATTTCGAAAGAACCGTTTTCATATCAACTACAAGAAAAAAGATATCGAAAAATAAGAAAAAGTTTCACCCACTTTTTCTCGGGTTTCTTTACCGAGGCTTTATCTTTGAAACGCATTAGAGATAAATGGAAATATAAGGGCTGTCCTTAATTAGGAAATTCTAGAAGTAAACACTCTTTTGCAAAGAAGATTTATCGCAGAATGGAAAATAAATATTTTTGAAAGTTTAAAAAGTTTGCTTAATCCTTAAGAGCTAAGTGCGATGTGGGTGGTATGGTGGTTAGATTTAAGTTGAAAATTATCCAGACTAATGTAATTTACTTGTACCAAGTTCCAAAGTTGTCGTTTGTCCTACAGTTAAACGAGTAATTTGATAGAGTTTGCCCAAATTATCAAAATACAAATATCAATAAATAAAACAGTCAGGTTAGTTACAAATGTTTCGAAGTGAAACTTCTTTACGCGCTTTGGGAGTAAAAATTCAAGGACGTGACTTTAAGACATCAGTCTCCAGATTTTTATAAAAAAAATAATATTTAAGTAGTCAAAGACAGAGGTTTCTTTTGAGTTTTATGACACTCCTTTGTAGATCTATCTACGTTTTCCCAGAAGCATAATTAGGCAAAAGAGAAGCCGGCAAGTCTAAGTTGAGGAGATTTAATTAAAAGTAATATAAGCCTGACTAATTTGATATTAACGGTTTGGTGAACATTTTGTCGCAGAGTTATAATTGAATTTATTTTAAGAATATCTGCGGCTTTATCCGGTTGGATTGTTCTCTTGATTTTTTATTTTTGAATTCTGCAAAAAATTCTAAATACGCTGTATACAAAATAGGCTGAGTCTAATGTTTCGATTTTTGAAGTAATTTCGTGTGAATCCATTAGACCGCTTAAAGCTATTCCGACGTTACAGGGAGGCATAAAAAGTACATTTTTACTCCGAATAGAACATACTCTTTTCTTAAAACATTACAAAATGTTTTAATCAACTTCA